TTCCCAGGGTACAGAACCAGAGGTCAGGCCTTGCAGGTGTTCTAACTCTATCACATACAGACTTGTAATTTTGGGCCAGTGATTTAATATTTTGGGATTCAATTTCGTACTATGAGGATTCAATGAGATACAGTAAATGAGATTCACTGCTCAAAGATGTATACAGCAAAGCTCTACACAGATAGCACCAACTTCAAATCTTTTGGAGGAAGCAACACAGAAACTTCCTATTTCTAACATATTTTAATAAAAATCTAGAATTTACATTTTTATAAAATAAAAATCGTCAGGAAAACAGAATAATACCCAAAAGCTATCTCTACTTATTAACTGAGTGCCTTCTACATTCAGGCACTGAAGACAAGTTAGAAGGTCCTCATCTTGAAAAAGTCATAACCTGGAGAAGAGAAGGGGGCAAGAGCCTATGCAATGTGCTGTCATAACAGGCCTAGCATTCACAAGGGCGTGACAAACTTAAGGGAGCAAAAGTGCATCTAGTGCCACAGATGCAGGGTCTGCAACGCTGGTGGAAACAGGGAAAGACTTCACAGAGATGAAGGCTGAGCCGTAAAAGCACTATGGCAACACAAAACTAGGCAACTCAGGAAGAAGCAATAACACATGCAAAGATATGTAGGACAGAGCACAGCTCTTCACAAGAGTTACAAGCATCATGACAGCAAGGTCTTAGTGCAACCAAAAGGGACTAGCCAATGAAGGGGCTAGAAAGAGGCAGAAACCACATGCCTTGCTCAAGATCTAGGGTTTCCTCTTCTAGGCCAACAGTGAAGCACTACGGACACATTTTAGGCAGGTAGATCAGATCAGAGCTTCCTTCTGGAAGGAACAGAGATAAATCAGAAACAATGACACCCTCCCTTCCCTTTCACTAGTTCACAGTGAGGTAAAAATTGTACCACCAATTAATTAATCTTTCAGATCATAAATACTGGAATCACCCAGCCCTGTCAATGTTGCCTCAGCTCCCTCCCTTGCATCTGTCCACTCTTCCCCACCCCCACTTCTTATGCATTGGTGAAGCCATGGTCCTCTGGCCCTGATAGTCCATGGGCCTCCTCCCTGAATTCTGCCACTAGCCCCTGGCCCTCTACCTTTCTAGCCTCACACCAGGGCAAATATGCTCACATCACTCCCCTTTATTCACACCTCTTCTGGGACATATTATTCCCCCACATCACACAAAGTATTGAGAGCTCATTCATTCAAATAATCACTGAATGCCTGACACATATTCAGATAATGTTCCAGGCACTGAAGATATAACAATAATCAAAGCCAAAGAAGAAAAGTCCCTGCCTTCACAGATGACTCAATGTAGTCAGGAAGACACATGGAATGTCCGAGGATAAGTGCTATGGGAAAAAAGACAGGCTGGGTACAGTGGTTCACGCCTATAATCCCAGCACTTTGGGAGGCTGAGGTGGGATGATTACTTGAGCCCAAGAGTTCAAGACCAGCCTGCTCAACATAGCAAGATTCCATCTCTACAAAAAATCTGTTTAAAAATTACCCAGATGTAGTGGCTTGTGCCTGTAGTCCCAGCTACTTGATAGGCTGAGGCAGAAGACTGCATGAGCCTAGAAGTTCGAGATTACAGTGAGTTATGATTATACCACTATACTCCAGCCTGGGTAACACAACAAGACACTGGTTTTAAAAAAAATAAAAAAGACAATTTGCAAACATGAGCCTAATGCTCTGAAGTTTCCAGGTTACCTCTTTCTTTTGTATTTTATATACTTCATATTCTCTTTACCTCACCCAGTGATAGAGAGAAAGCAGCAATCAGGTACAGTAGAAACTCTTGTTCCATCTTGGTGCTAGGTACAGGTCTGTTCTATTATTTGTTGTACTTAGGTGTTTAGAATGCTTCATAGCTAACTTTCATTCAACATTTGCATTAGCTATGGTAAGCAAAGGAAACTGCCCTGCCTGGCAAAAAGTCCTGGCTCCCCAATTAAAACAGAATGACCTTAGCTCGGCCTCTTCCATTCTACACTCAGCTTCTTCCCCAAGAGAGTCCCTTTCTGCTCCAACATGACACAAAAAAGAAGCAAACAGACCAGATGCTGGCATTAAAATGAGTTTTGTTTACCCTAAGCCATATGTCCATTTATTCAGCATTTACTGAGTGCCCACCATAAGGCACCAGCATAGGCCAGGCTGCCCAAGGCAATGACAGAGGCCTTCCTCCAAGAGTTCACCCAACAGGAGAGAAAAGTAACATGTGCCAATAAAAGGCTGTGCATTATGCTCAAAAAGGGAGAACTAGTGGTGGTCCATACTCAACAACTGCCCACACAAAGGCCTGGAGTCAGGACAGGGTACCACATATTTGGAGAACAAGGACACGTTTACTACAGCCAGGCAAAAAAGGAGAGTGAGGATCAGTAGACTAAAATGCTTATCCAAAGTTGTATGCATTCTATGGCCATGAGCAGTCCACCAAAGGAAAAACCAAAAAACTATACCAGAATGAGTACAGAGCCATATGTCTTCAGTTCCCACTAATTAATTAAAGCATTTACTTAGAAAGGTTATTTGCCCATTTGCTCAATTAAAAAGGACAGTGCAGACTTGGGTGTAGTGGCATGCACCTGAAGTCTCAGCTACTCTGGAGGCTGAGGCAGAAGGATCACTTGAGCCCAGGAGATCAGGGCTATGGTGCACTACAATTGCACCTGTGAATAGCCACTGCACTCCAGCATGGGCAACACAGCAAGAATCCATCTCTAAAAGTAAATAAATAAAAAGTACAGGGCAAAATTAGTTTGGATTATGAACTTCAGCACCATCTTAGAACATCCTTTTATATGTGCTTTTATTTAGTGAAGAGAAAACCTACAGTTCACATAGCGCACACACACACACACACATAGTGTTTTCTATCCTTTCACCAGTACTTTCTTAGTAAGTCTAATTCCCCCTACTTTTATATGTTTTACACTGAATCTTCAAGCTGTAAAAAAAGGAAGCAACTAGTTAGTTCACATTCTGCCACATAAGTAAATCTTTTAAGGTTTGACTATTTCTAGGAGGGGACAGTCTGAAGACTGCACGCAACCACTCCCCTTAACCCACAGGGTCTATAATTCCTGACTCATTCTGAAATTCTGCCTTATTCTTCATCTGGTGCTCACATTTCTAGAGGTACTAGTTTAATAGCCCTGTATAAACTAGTTGCATAAAAACAAACCTAACAGACACACCTACAACCTGTTTACCTTTTTGTTTTGCTCTGTATATCTCCACAAGTTTCAAGTTATATTGGTTTGCATGTTACATATGAATATATATAAGTTATCTATCTACTTTTTGACATTAATAAAATTATTTGATACTCTTAAAATGGAATGTTTACCCCTGGAATCACAGGTCAGCCTATTTGGCTGTAATACAGTCAGGAGGGGAGGATTTTTATACTGAAGAGATCCAAGTTCTTCACAAAAGCTTAACACAAACTCAGAACAGTGCAGTAAATCCTCATTTGAACAACTATCAGCCCAAAACTGAAGGCTGCTGGGTGGCTGAGAAAATGGAAGGGAAGAAAAGGAAATGACTCAAAGTAATCATGCTTCAAGTATGAGTCCTCTCCATTTTCAGTCAGCAGTTTAGATTTGAACTACTATCGGCTGTGGGAAGTAAAGAGCCATGCATCAAGTCCACAAGGAAAGGTTGTGCTCATAGAACTTGTCTCCTTCATGTTATTTGGAATTGTTCTTTTTTAATATTGTTGCTCTCATCACATTTAAATATGTAACTGGGACATTTGGAAAAATAAAGTCCCAGCTTCACAAATGGGATGGCTCCTAACTTATTTTCACGTTGATAATCTTATTAAAAATACATAAAACATAGCCAATATAATCCATGGGTGATCTTGTTATTTAAAAGTCAACACTTGAAAGTCTCAAAGTGGGCTGGCAGTACTGAAGAACTTCCCCTAACCTAGGTTTCAACTCATTCCTTATCAATGTCCTCTCTTCACAGGTCTGTTAAAACACACACATACACCCTCAATTATTTACCTAAAAATGATTAATGTCAGAACATCAGTTTTGATACTAAGTTTCAACTTGAATGTCAAACCCCATCCTGGGCACAGAAAGGAGGAAAAATCGGCGCTGCAACGGGTCCTATACGATATCCTCATCCATTTTCTTTTTATGGAAACTCAAGACTAGCAGCTTTTAAATGCTGAGATTTTAAACCACTGTTCCTGTAAATGTGAAGAAACCAGCCATTCAGTCCCCAGGTTCCATCCCTACGTGTCCTGAGGCTTCAAGGACTATCGGTCTGCAGCCTGGGAGCCAGGGGAGCATCCTGAGCGGAGGCCGACAGCCCTTGGTTCAGGGTCCCCACGCCCGGCCCACTCGCGCCTCCACCTGCCAAGGTCCGGACCGCGGCCCGGCGCCCCGGGGGCGCGCCCGCGCTGACCAACGGTCCAGGCGCCGCGAGTGTCAACGCCGGACACCTTCTGCAAACAAAAAGCGGCCCCTCGGCCAGACCCCTGCCCGGACGCTGGCCCTGGGACCCCCGACCTGCCCCTCCCACCGCGGCCGCCTGGGCCCGAGGCGCCGCACAAAGGCCGGCCCGGCCCGCTCGGCGCCGCAGGAACAAAGGCGGCCGCCCCGACCCGGCCGGCACAGGTGCAGCCGCCGGGCCCCGCTGGGCCCAACATGGCCGCACCCGCCGGCCCCGTTAGCCGCCGCCCTCCCCTGCTGATCCTCCCAGCGGCCCGGCCTCCACCGCCCTCCCGGCCCTCCCCGCAACTCCCGACCCCTCAGGCCGCCGGCCTACACTGGACCTCGCTTCTCTTGACCGGCACCTCAGGCCTCACCGGGCCTCCCAGCCCTTCCCACCGTCCGCAATCCTCCCGGCCCTCCGCGGTCCTCCCCAGTCCTCCCGGCCCTCAGGCCTCCGCGGGCCTCACCGCCGCCCCCTCAGGCCCCCGCCGGGCCGTTGGCGGCCCCAGTGACCTGTGGTGCGTCGCATCCTCCGGGCGCAGCGGCTCCGGCAGCTGGGCAGAGGCCGGGCCGGGGCCTGTGGCAGGAGGGCCGCGGCGGGGAGGGGGCGGCGGCGGGCGCAGCGCGGCCAGGCCGAGGCTCTCCGCGCGCGGCGCCGACCCCGCCCCCGCGCCTCCCGCCCGCCGCCGCCGCCGCCGCCGGGGCTGCCGCCGCTCTCAGAAGCCGCGGGAAAAGTGCGCGCCGCTGATTGGCTGCCGCGCTCGCGGGGCCCGCGGACCGGGTTTTTCAAATCCTCGCCGGGGCCGCGCGGGCGGGGCCGGCCGCGGGACCTGCGCGCGCCTGGGAAGAGCGCAGGGCGCGCGCCCTGCTCCCGCTACTTGCCGGCGCGCGCCCGGCCTGGTCCAAGGCCCCCGGAGCCGCGCGCGGTGACGTCACGGTCGCGCGCCCAATCGCCGCCCGGAGCCGCGCCGCTGAGCCGTGGGCGCGCGGGCGCAGGGTTGGCGGGGTGGGCCCCGCGCGCGGGCCCGGGGTCCTTTCCACCTCCTCCGCCGCCCCGGACCCGCGCTACTGAGCCGGCCCGAGGGTCCGGAACAACTCGGCAGAGAGACAGGCCCGCGAGGAGTGTCTCCAGGGTGTGAGGGTCCCGCCGGCGCGGGGTAGGCAGGCAGGCCTCGCAGACCCTCACTGTCCCGGGACGAGTCCAGGCCAGGCTGCGGTTGCCACGCCGCGGCGGCGGGGCGGGCGGGGCTCGGTGCGGTGAGGAAGGCGGGCGGGTGTGGTGGACACGGGCACGGAGAATGGCAGAGGTAGTGCGGACACTGGCTGAAGTGATAAGGATGGATTTGCGTTAGCAATATACTTTTGCAGTGGAGGAAAGCGCCCAGCACAAACTGAGCTCAGCTCTGCTTGGCTCAGGGTGGCTGCGCGTGCAAGGGAGAATGGGAGTGCGGAGAGGCCCAGCAGAGTCCGGGAGAGAAAGGAGATAAAAAGAGGGGAGCGGGGGTTGGTCCGTATGAAACCCATCTGAGTTTGCTAACTGGAGCTGATGGAAGTTAGGCTCCTACCCTCCCTGCGGGGGTAGGGGGTGGTGGAAGGACCTATCTCCAGGTGTTGCTGCAACAAATAAGTTTCCTTTTGGCAGCCTTGGGTTTTCCCAGGCACTTTAAGGGAGGCCGATGACATCCTAAGAATGAGGCTTTTAACTATTAGAAACTACGTTAGTGTTTTTGCAAGTCTTAATAGGCCTAGCTGGAGACCTAGTGGAGACAAGGGCTCGGAGGAGCCTGGCTAGAGTTAGGTCAAGGACAGAATCCTCCTCGTTAAAAATGCACCATCCAAAGACTGTACTTTCAGGGATCATTTCTATAGTTAAAAAAAAAAAGTGCTGAGGGAAAGGGCATTTATTGAAACCTTAAAATCTGTACCCCCCATAACATGCTGAAATTAAAAAAAAGTGCCACTCTGGTTCCCCTCAATAAGGGCCTTGCTGCTGCTTGGCCTCTAGCTGCCACCTCCTACAGGGTCAGCCTCCACTGCAGAGCCACCTCACCCCAGGTTATGCCCTTCCCTGCACAGCCACATCTAGTGACTGAGGGAGTGGGGTACAAAGGCTTAGTTCTACATACTGTATGATTCCAACTATATGACATTCTAGAAGAGGCAAAATTATGGACACAGTAAAAAGATTAGTGTTGCTGGGGGCAGACAGGAGAGATGAATAGGCAGAACACAGATTTCTAGAAAAGTGAAACTATTCTGTATGATATTATAACAGTGGATACATATCATTACATATTTGTCAAAACCCACAGAATGTACAACACCATGAGTGAACCATGATATAAACTGAATTTTCAGTGATAATGTGTCATTGTAGGCTCCTTGATTATAACAAATGTACTAGTCTCCTGGGAAATGTTCATGATGGGGGAGGATTAGGGGGTGGACAGGAGGTGTATGGGAACTCTCTGTACTTTTTGCTCAATTTGTGAACCTAAACCTGCTGTAAAAATTAAAGTTTTTACAAACTTTAGGCAGGCAACATGGCTCACACTTCGGGATGCCAAGGCAGGAAGATCACTTGAAGCCAGGAGTTTGAGTCAAGCCTGAGTAACATAGTGAGACTCCATCTTTACAAAAAAAAAATTTTTTTTAATTAGTGGAGCAAGGCCGGGTGCAGTGACTCACACCTGTAATCCTAGAACTCTGGGAGGCCGAGGTAGGTGGATCTTTTGAGCTCAGGAGCTCGAGACCAGCCTGAGCGAGAGTGAGACCCCATCTCTACTAAAGATAGAAAGAAATTACTTGGACAACTAAAAATATATAGAAAAAATTAGCCAGGCATGGTGGTGTATGCCTGTAGTCCCAGCTACTCGGGAGGCTGAGGCAGAAGGATTACTTGAGCCCAGGAGTTTGAGGTTGCTGTGAGCTAGGCTGATGCCATGGCACTCTAGCCTTGGCAACAAAGTGAGACTGTGTCTCAAAAAAAATAAAATTAGCGGGGCATGGTGGTGTGTACCTGTAGTCCCAGCAACTCGGGAGGTTGAGGCAGGAGGATCATTTGAGCCTAGGAGTTTGAAGTTGCAGTGAGCTATGACGATGCCACTGCACTGTAGCCCAGGCAACGGCAAGACCCTGTCTCAAAAAAAAATTATTAGTTTTAAAAAAAAGATGTTGGAGTTCTAACCTCCAATAACTCAGAATGTGATCTTATTTGGAGAGTGGGTCTTTTCAGAGATAATGAAGTTAAAATGAGGTCATTAGGGTGGGCCCTAATGCAGTATGACTGGTGTCCTTATAAAAAGGGGAAATTTAGAGACAGACATACTTACAGGGGGGAGAACTCCACATGAAGATGAAGGCAGAGGTCAGGGTGATGCTTCTATCAACCAGGGAATGCCAAGAATTGCTGACACCTACCAGGAACTGGAGAGAGCCCAAGAACAGATTCTGCCTTGCAGCCTCAGAAGGAACCAACCTTGGCAACACCTTGATCTCAGATTTCTGGCCTCCAGAATTGTTAAACCAGACATTTCTGTTAAGACACTTAGTTTGTGGTACTTTGTTACAATAGCCTTAGCGAACTGTTACAGTCCCTAATAAGCATCTGGCCCTTAAAACTCCATCTCAGTCTCTGTTTCTGAAGAAGCTGACCTGTGGCAGCTAGCTGGGCTAGAGTTGGGGACACCAGAGAGGGGTACAGGGCAGCAAGAACAGTTGGTTTGGGGGCCCGAGCAGTGGAGACAGACATATGCTGGGTTTGGGCAAGTATGAGGGTAGGGAGTTAAGCAGTGGCTTCTTTCTTCTCAGGATCCTGAAAGCTGTCCCCCACTGCAAGAGGCACAGCCCTTAGCACTGGAACTGTGGGGGACCCTCCACCCCTTGGAGGTTCAGCTGCTGACTATACAATGAGAAGCAGGTGGCAGGAGCCAGCCTGGGAGCCTGGCACATGGCACACAGCCTGTGTTCATTTTCTTCATGGCAGGCTAGGCTCCTGCCCAGGCCCAAACCAGGTGCTGCTGTGGGTATCAGAGGGGGTGCTGAGGCTGGGCGCAGTAGCTCACGCGTGTAATCCTAGCACTCTGGGAGGCTGAGGTGGGCGGATTGCTCGCAGTCAGGAGTTGGAAATAAGCCTGAGCAAGAGCGAGACCCCTGGCTCTACTATAAATAGAAATTAATTGGCAAACTAATATACATAGAAAAAATTAGTCAGGCATGGTGGTGCATGCCTGTAGTCCCAGCTATTTGGGAGGCTGAGGCAGAAAGATCACTTGAGCCCAGGAGTTCGAGGTTGCTGTGAGCTAGGCTGACGCCACAGCACTCACTCTAGCTTGGGCAACAAAGCGAGACTCTGTCTCAAAAGAAAAAAACGGGGGGGGGGGTGCTGAGAGCTCAGATGTGAGCTGTTGGGACAAGGCTGTGCACCCACAATCCTGTTCCTGGGCCTCTGACATCTTGGGATGTGGCACACTACTCAAAAATTAGCTACTCAAGGGCCTGCTCTGCTGGTACAGCCTCAAGAGTTTCGCAGCCAGGTCACCTGCAGATACAGGCACCCAGTCATGCCTTGGTGTTGAGACAGATGCTATGACCCAAGACTTCAGCCAAACCCTTTGGTGTAGCCCTGGCTTAGCCTGCTCCCAAAGCCCCAGGTCTCCCCAGCCCCTTGGAAGTGCTCATAGTCCAGTGCTCTGCCACTCATCTGAAAGAATGGCAAAAAGGTCTCTAAGCCCAGGCAGGGCTTAGAGATTAGAATTAAAAGCAAGCAGGATATGGGGGAGCCCAAGGCTTTAGGTCCAAGAAGGGCCTCAGGGGTAGAAGGATGGGCAAAGCCTGCTGAAACACTCTCCACTGCCCTCAGCCACAAGCTTCATCTGCTTCCCACTAGGGCAGGGACTGGCCCAGGGCATGCCAGGGGCCCCACGGGAAGGGGTTACCAAATTGTTTACCCTTCCTCCAAACCCTATACTGGCTCCTATACAGGGTGTGTGGTCGGGCCGCAACCAGAAGAGTTTCCCTGCCCCATGAGTTAGTTTACTGCCAGTACCCACCTAACCCCCCAGGAGCCCCTGGACAGTGTCCAGCTGGGTAGTGGCCAAATGCCTCTGGCTGTGGAGGAGAATAGGTACCTACTTGAAGCCTTAGATCTCTCTGGGGCATAAGCCTGTAAACTGCTTGCCTCCCCAGCACCTTTTAAATTCTTGCAGTACATGACAAATACCACCATATTGCATTTAATTTCACAGATTTGGAATTAGGGCTACTTTTCCCAAAAAATCTGCATTTAGAATAGTGCAATCAACATGTAAATTTATTCAAAACATACAAGTGTGTGTTTGGATTTTCTTCAAGAAAGTTATTTGGGGCTGGCTGGTCTTTTCCCGCCCAGTGCAAGCCTCCCTGAGCCCAGCCAGGCACTCTCGGGGGGGGGGGGGTGCTGAGCCCCTTTAAGTCAGCTGGCTCCTGTACAGGGTATGGCTAGCTGAACCCCCTGATCTCCACCCTACACACATCAGGGGCCTCTCCCCCAAGGCAGTGTGTGTTGCAGCTCTCCAGGGCAAGTAGAAAGAGGCCCACATGGGACTCCACAGGTGGATTACTGGGAAAGGGAGCCCTCTGCTGCAGGTGCTCCTCTGTAGCTCAATGTGGGCTCCCAGGCTCAATGCTCTGGG